TACATTACCGTATGTTTTGCAGACATCGCCGTCAGTATCGTTAGTGAGTCTTCCCATTATCATCACCAAGCCATAAATCGTCGAAGGGACAAGTGAGGTAAATCCCTTTACCAGCCTTCTGCTTAACGATTTCGCTATCGTTTCTTTTTCTTGCCTGGCACATCTACCTGCTCCATACCATCATTTCTCACTCCCACCTCATCAAAACTTCTTATTTGTCTATATTCCATTCCTCAAACGGTGCACTCTTTTTGTCAAGTTTATTGTAGCATCATCACACCCGCTTTTTACAGAACCCCCCTTCATCTAGATTTGTTTATCCAACTTGGGCCTTCCATCCATATCTCCTTTCATTAAAACGTACACTGTCACCTCATCTAGCAGAGTACCTAGGCTCTGTTTCCAATTCTTGTATATATCAAGCATTGTCTTCATAGGTTATCTCTTAGATTCAACCCGTGTACCCAGAGCAAACTGTGAACATCTAACTCTGATTTCTTTTTGCCTCTCGAGCGGATTTCTAGTCAATTTGGCTTATGCCGAATTTATATAAAGGGTATGCTTATCAGTCTGCCTAGTCATTTGAATACCAGGCACTTACAGTTGTACTTGTTTCTTCAAGCAGGCTATTATCCGAAATTTTTTCATTCTCTTCTAGCTTGCGATTACTTTTCCTTTGACTAATAATAGATTCTTAATTCAGGCGTTTTACTTATGCTTGTTTTTTAAACCTTTGTTTTCTCTGAGTTTGCTTAAGCCGTAAGCAAAGTGTACGCTAACTTTGGAGCGGAATATATACATGCCAGAAATTTTGATAGGGTGGGAGTGAGATAAGAGAGTATGGAATAGGTAAATGTGCTAGAAAAGGATGAGGAGTTATAGCATAATCGTTCTACAGAAAGCTGTTCAAGGGGTTGACTTAGTTTGTCTCTCTAATGAGTTGTAGCTTGATTTTGAGAATTAAAGACTCACTGACGATGCCGACTACGATGACGGGAAAACATTAATGAATGTCTTGATTTCACGGTCCGACACTGAGTATTAGGTTAGATAAAAAAGTATAGGACTTCGGACAAGGCACGTCCAACTAAGTTATCTTGACAACACGACCAAGTTGTGTAAACGAGGTCAGATAACTTCTATGCACCGAAACTAGACTGTGGCCAAAATAGTGGTCACAACATTTTGGTCTTCATATCTACATTTAAACAACTTTTAAGAATAGATAATTCTCATATAGCCAGAATTTATTAAATAAAAATAAACTTTAATAAGGAAATCTGTGTTTTCCTTTAAATTTTTAGAATTTCCGTGTAACTTATATAAAAGCAACTAAAGTGATCATATTCTTTATGAGAATCGAAGCCTTAAATTTATCAGAGATTGTAATGTCAATAATATATCAGAATTTACGGAGTTAATTCAGTTTCCATCTCTTCTTATACACATTTGCTAAGAATCAACATATAAAAGGCAAAGCAATTGATTTTATCTTCTTTTATTTGAGGGGATAATTTTATATTCTTTCTAGCATTATACAACATTTTCTCCCTAAATCGTATTTGGGAGCATTCGTTATTGTCGGATAGCTTTCGTTTATTAAACTTAA